AAAGGAATAAGAAAAATCCACAACTTACAAACGCAGATTTACACGTATTACATCACCAAGGAAGGAACATTAACAAAAATCTAACACACATCCACAGAGCTGACATCTGCAACATCAACACACCATCAACACCAACCCACACGCAAGTGTTTCCATACTCTAGATGCTTCCATGACCTAATGACGCGAACAGGGCGACTCAGAGGAGAAGACAACATGAAAAGAAACTGTGTCTTTCATTTTACACATTCAGGGCTAGTCATTGATATCCATCGTATATTAACTTTAAATATGCTTTTATGAAAGAAATTTTAATATAGATAAATAGACTAATTTCATGTCTAAGAAACATACGCATTATAAAAATCATGTAAAATGGGGATATCATTTTTAATCTATTCATAAATTCGACTTCCTCATACTCAGTTACATATATGACTTTGCAGAACTAGATCCCCACGACTAAACCAAATCAAATACTATATCAACATACCTGCTCCCGAAAAACAATCAGATTGATAATACATGTAAACTTAATATCGACTTATATACCCTTTAATGACTATGCACACAGACATGAATAGAACTACTTTTAAATTTAACTATGCATATCTTGCCTCGACTTCACATTATAGGCACACCTATTTTTCCACTTAAACCGAATAAGAGATCATGCACAATAACACCCGCACATGATCACCATCGTTAGATTACACAACACATTTTAGCAGGCTGAAGTTTTATACCCAGTGTAGAGAAAAACAATGAATCAAGACTAATTGGCCTATTGATTGCTTTCCATGAAAGACTGTACTACGATGGTAACCCGGTTGTATCAACTTCGAAAGCAAAACTAAGCATTCATGGAAACAAAAAATTTGGAAGGTATTAGGTGTTTTGAATAACGGCGCATTTCCATTCAGTTTTTATCACCTCGAATGTTAGTTTAATAGATGATCAATTATGTGGAATACTATGATGTTTACAGTCTAACATCAAAGACTTTGAATTAAAGAGTATTGAACAATTGTTTCAGACGGGATGACCAGCGTAACACTCCATTTTACCTCTGACAATTATCTTTTCATATCAACGCTCTCTCTCTATGAAAACAAGTTTTCTAGTACCTTATCCTGATTACAACAAAACTCAGATAAGCGCGAACTGCTCAAGACCAAAGATATTCTCAGCTATAAAATTTAGAAAGTTGAGATGGTTTAGGACATTGAATCCCATCATTCAGCACTATCCCACCAGGCCCAAACAAAAACAAAAACCAACATTTTTCTCTTCCCCCCCCTGATCTGGTGTACTAACTTTATAATCAGACTCAATTCCTACGTGATGAATGATTACAAGCTATTTCAGTTATATGAACAAAATACTAGATACCAGCTGACTCGCTATGCTGCTGTCCTGTCGCGAGGTTAACGTGGACCTGGCAGAGTCACTCACTCGTCGCGCCAGAGCCTTACTATGATTGTCTTACCCATTTCCCCCCCCCCATCTCCCCCCTCTGCCCCCTTCCTTCCAGTCTTCAGTTTGTTTGTCATTTTCTTCAGTTTCTTTCTTCATTTTTCTGCCCGTCTGTGAGTTTGAGCTATTAATATCACACCACAGACAGAGAGAGGGGCCTGTCGACGGGCGTGAAGCGACAAGATGTTCCTCTGTGACAAACAGATGGCGAACTCCAGTCTTGGCGCTGACCGCTCAATTAGCGGCTAACGAGCCGACTGCCTCGTTAGCTCAGTAAGCCGCGGCTGCACGTCTCTGTGTCAGAGCACCAGCGTCCGCCGCCTCCCTCTGAGGAACGGCATGACCCAAAAAAAAGTGAAAGCGATGTGTGACTCTGAAGCAACACACACCTCGGCTTGACACTTACATTACACATACGCTAACATGTGCCTGACAGGAAGCTGAGAGAGTAAAATGCTGAGGGTTCTTCAGGTTGTACCACAGGGTTTCTCTGACTTTTTTTGGCCCATGAAGATTTATCTAACACAGGCAAATGAAATATACAAATATAATATCAGTGTTGGTGTCTTATCAAAAAGCTGTCCTGTCTGCAAGACAATTGACAATGTTGGGGTCCGAACCTCCAGGTGGCTAAGGGTCTATTTTTTATTAGAAACTATCAACAGTTTTTTTGTTTTATTTGAGAGCAGCCAGAGTGTGCAGGTGGCTGCTCCTAATTATTCTAAAGATTCAGTTCAGAAAACTGTTCTAATTCTGGTGGGATTTGATAATTAGTCGTTGAAAATAAATTTCATCCGAGCAAAATCTCTGACAATTTTCGAGTTCCACCATCAACAGTTTAATCAATAATGACAATAATAATTAGGTGCTCTGATTTATAAAAAAAAACAAAAAAAAAAAAAATAAAAAATGTCTGGCATGTTTGCCTTTACAGGCAATTTTGACAGTATTTCACACAGCGACATGGACAGAACATGGATGCATTCAGTTCGCCAGCTGGAGACATTACTGCCAGTAACAACGAGAACATCTCAGTGTTGATTCTTGATTCTCAACAACTGACCAAATAGTTAGTAGGGATCCAAGACTGACATCAAGAGTCCAGAATAAAAGACAGCAATGTAACTGGTCAAGCATGGTTAGAGGCAGACAGGCAGGTCAGAGTTGGTTAGTTTCACCATTCAGGTAACTGCTAACAGTTTCTATTGTTACCTGGAGGTTAATATGCCACAAGCTCTGATTTAAACTGGTAGTTAAAACTGAATTATGTTTCAGGTGTGCACATATTGACACCTCTCAGTGGATCAAATCTGATGGAATTTTAATGGCAGCAGTATAAAAAAAAGACACTGTTTTACAACCTGGGGGGTCAGGGGGTTATAAAGGTTAGAGAAAGTTACTGTTCATCTCAGAACATTGGGTCTCTCTTTAGCCCGAAAAAACCTCTCAGTTGACACATCTGTGAACAAATTGCTTGTTTCACTCTTTCGCCTTCTGCTGCATATAGTATATAATGGTTTGTGTAATAGGTGCCTTTTCTTTGTCTGTTTGTTAAAATGTTTTTGAGAGATTTCAGTAAAATGTATTTTGAGTTATTTCTAAGGTTCAGTCGTGAGCCATAAAACAAGTAATACGTTTTAAGTTTGGAGCCAGAAATGTATTAAAGGATTCCTTAACATGTGTTAAAAACATGTGAAGTTGAACATGAATATTTCCACTATTTCCTATTTAACTATTACTTTACTTTATGTATCCAGTGACCATCTATGACTGCTATTGTGCAGCCCTGACAGAGGTCTGATCTCATTCTTTAACACTGTTTAATCTCTGCACTTCAATATTTGTGTTTACAACACTTGCACCCTCTCAGCACACATATATCAGTATCCATGTACATGTTAGCATGCATACATGTTATAGTTTAGAAAGATATGTTCTCGTTGTTTAGAAACAGTGTCTCTATTACACGGTCTATCCACCAGAGAGCACTGTCAAGTTTATTTTTATACTTTAAAATGTCCCACTCACTATAAATCCTGGTCACAATTATTTAATTACCAGATTAAAAGTATGCTTCTTAAAAAGGCTGCTACACTGTCATCAGGTTTTGTTAAACCTCTTAAATCACAAAAATCTAATATCGTCTGACTCCACTTTCTAGCACCACTGAGTGCTAAGTTGATGTTCATCCTGTTTAGCAGCAGAGTGATGTGTTGTTTTTCAGTTGCGTAAAAACAATCATTGCATTAATCAAAAGCAGATCAATGGCAGATCTCTCTGAAGAGTTTACTGTTTGGCATTTTTCCTTGAAGTC